CCGGCTAGAGTTTTGGCTAATTTTCCATTAAGTGTTTGGGTTTTTTTGGTGTTGTGTTGTTGTTTTTTTTTTTTTTTTTTTTTTAAAGTAAGTAACTTCAAAACTTAACAAGTTAGCCTGAAATTTCTCATGGTTGCCCCTCTGGCAAAGGATAATGCTTTGGGTAGCAGGATAAGTAGTGGAGTATATGTGAAAGTTTAAATAAGTGGTATACCGTATTATGCTGGTCCTGGAATCTTCAGTAAGGATGCCAAATTTGTCTTGGTGGGAACTGGTTCCTATGTCTGTTTTTTGTGAATGGTGGAATTAGCCATAGTTAGACTCATTGATGTGTTAGCCTTATCAAAATATTACAGACCAGAGTGCTTCAATATACAAGAAAACATGGTGAAATGATACCCAGTGGATGTATCCCAGGACTGAAAACGGCTTAGGGAGACGGACTGTTTTTCTTGAAGTGAGGGAAGAGGGCCACCACCTGTTTAGTGTATTCGAGGAGGCATAGCCCAGATATCTGCATCTGTGCCTAAAGGTGATCAGCCTGTAGTAAGGTTTTAACCTCAGTTATTTTTGAAGACCTGGAGAAACTTGTTTTAACTTACTCTGCTATAATTTGTCCATGATAAAGGGAATGTTCTTCTAGTGAATGTGACAGGAACTTAAAAGTCAAATTGGGTTTCTGGGGTATAGGTTGTAATTACTGGAACTAAGTTGAGTTCCAACCTTATGTATTTATGTATCTGTCTTCTAAAATATGTGGGTCATATACTGTTTAGATCATTGCATTTATTCAGTTGTACATGCTCCAAGAGACACCTCCTCCCCTCTCCCTCCCTCAACCTTCCTTTCCCCCTCCCCTCCCCCAAGACATAGGGACGTATCATGAAATTCCACCATTAGGTGCCTCCAGCTACAAAATGGAGAAACTATCTGTTTCTCTTTCAGTTGTGGAAAACATTGCCATGGACTTTAAAACAAAAAAAATAGTACTCATGAAGCAATGTGTGTGCAGACTTCCATCAGGCATTGAATAGAAAAAATGCTTTCAAAGCTTTTTTTATTGTATTTAATTTCTGTGAAAAACGTGTGCTTTTCTGGGTCTTGAGCACAATCATGAATTCCATAGTTTATATTAACATAATATAAAAAGTAGGGGTAAGATTTAGACCAAACTGAATTGCCAAGATAAAATCTATAAATGAGTGGCAGAGGATTTAGAACATCTATACATAATCAGTTTTTTTATTACAATAGTTTGTTTTGGGAACATAGTTTCCAAATTGTGTTGTGAGTTAAGCCATGAACTCATAAATGTTTAGTCTGTAATACCCTTATTTTAATGATGTAGTGAAATAGTGTAATCATTGCACTGTTTTCTTTGCAGGTGATGTAGAGAAAGATGGCAAGGATGATCTACAAATGAATGGGAATGCTGGTCGTCACTCTCTGGACATTGATGTTGAAGACACTAGTGCACAACTTAACATGCGTGGAGTTTTTTTGCATGTTCTTGGAGATGCATTGGGGTCAGTTATTGTGGTGGCGAATGCCTTAGTATTTTACTTCGTTTGGAATCCTTGTCCCAAAGATGGGCCCTGTGTTAATCCATGTGTCAATAGCCATTGTATGGAAAATGCTACTGTAGCCCCACCACTTTCCACAGTTAGGCCTTTGGAGCATGTGGCTGGTCCATGCTGGGTACTATATTTAGATCCCATTCTTTGTCTGATGATGGTGTGCATAATCCTTTACACAACTTACCCGTTACTTAAGGAATCGGCCCTTATCCTTTTACAAACTGTTCCAAAACAAATAGATATTCATTCTTTGAGCCTGAAGTTGCATACACTTGAAGGAGTTGAAGCAGTCCATGAATTACATGTTTGGCAATTGGCAGGCAGCAGGATCATTGGCACTGCACACATAAAATGTCATGACCCTGAATCATACATGAAAGTGGCCAAGCACATTAAAGAGATTTTTCATGATGAAGGAATTCATGCTACTACCATTCAGCCTGAATTTGCCAGTGTAGGCTCTGAATCAGGTGTAGGTAATTGCGAGCTTCCCTGCAGAACTCAATGTGCTTTGAAGCAATGTTGTGGGACATCAGAAAACAGCGCTGAAAAGGAGATGGAAAAATCGTCTACAATTGGTATTTCGTGTTCAGAAGTCATCACTGATTCTTCACACAGCAGAACTAGGAGGACTAAATCTGAGAGCATACCTGCTGTTAGGCTAGAGGCAAATGCTGACCAAAACAAACAGTTTGAATCATCTTTATAATTCCCAAAGTGGTGCTGCTTATATTTTGATGGCTTCACCCACAGCATTGTTGCAAGAAGAAGAGACAGATGTTCTGAGATGTGTTACTTGGCAAACTTGTATTTGCTGACATCCCTATTCTTGTCACTTTGCTAAATCCAGAATACTTGTTTTAAGGAACATGATCATGTATCATGACATGATATGCTTGTGTTGACTGTGGTGAATGAGTCAGAAAGTGCACCAATGTTGTAACAACTTCAGAATGCCATTTCAGCCGAGACGACACTTTTTGTTGCACTTCAAATTTAAAATATCTCTTCCCATGAAAAGTTACTTGAGAGAGAAGTAAATAGGAACTTAAATTGTGTTACAAACTGCTCATTGGAGCTACGTTTTCCTTTATTTGATCTGTAGATATTTTAATATATTTTTTATTTAGAAAACATAAGGAAACCAAAGTTAATAGATTTCTTTTTTTAAGATATAACTACTTAAAACTGGAAACCACTTTGTTAGTTTCATGCATTTTCCTTAAACTTAGAAAATGAAAAATGTGGACACCTTTTTTCTAATGGATTTATTACATAGCATATTAAAAAAAAAAAAGGAAAAAAGCATATCACATGATTGTTAGAAAGTGATCCATGTTTTCTCATGGGGGCTGTGAGGCGATTAAAAGTGGCTGCTTGTTTAAAAAAAATTGGTTGCGAAAGATGTGTTTTGTTAAAATATAAGTTCAGTCTTCTATGTAACCCCCTTAGGCTGTTCAATTGTCAGAAAAAATAATTTATAGTTTCAGTTACCACTTTATAAATTAGTCAGTGTTGTTTTTCCTTTTCAAATTCAGTCATTTTTATTTCATTAGCTTATTGTTTAAGTTCTAGAATTTTACACAACACACATTCTGGTGCTGTAACACTGAAGTTGTAGCTTTAATTTTTAACAGTGCTTCATTTAAATAAGTTAGTTTTTATCATGGTAATGCCAACCAGTACTGTTAAAGGGAACGATCTTCCAAAACTGGCACTATAATTTCTGCAACTCTGCCCCCAAAAACTCATGTGGATGTAAATTTGTGGAGATAATCTCTGTCTGATGGGCGTAATCCTGTCCCCATGAAGTCTGTGAGAGATTTGACTTCTTCATTGTGAATGGAATGTAATCCAATATATTTTACTCTTTAGCACGTCAAGAATTTACCTATGGGATATTTAAATGTTTAATTTAAAACCAAGAGACAACTGGCTCTGAAGAAGCTGTTACAGTGTACTGTCAACTAACATATTTACAAAAAATGCTGTGTGGGTGACAGTAAAAGACAGTGTAAATGGGAATGATAAGGGACCTTAGTCCACCACTGTGACTATGGTCAAAGCCAAACTCAATCCTTAAATCCATCTCCAGGCTTAGGTATATATGTTATGGTAAACAGTGTCTAGTAATTGAGCGCAGGAATGGGAGTTGGAAGATTCAAGTTGTTTTCTCTTTTCTGACATGTAGGATACATACAAACAAATACATTACAGCAAGATAAAGGAGTCAGGGATTTTTGTCACGTGTCAGCTGCTTCTTGGTAATTGTCCCCATATATTCTCTTAATACATGAAAAGTGAAACGGTGATAATGTAATCCTGGTTTCATACCCTGGAGCAAACAGCTTGCCTCCCTAAGAGTGTGCCCATGGTTACTGTAGAGCAGCCGATTGTGTGGCAAGTCCCTTCCCCCTTTTAGGTCATTATATAATTTATTCATTTGTCCATAACTTTATTTGCTGTGTGATGTTGGGCAAGTCACTTTAACCTCTCTTTGCCTCAGTTCCCTGTCTGTAAAATAGGGATAAAACCTACCTCACAGGGGTATTGTGAGGCTTAATTCATTAGTTGGTAAAAGTTCAGAGATCTTCTGATGGAAGGTGCCCTAGAAATGCAAAATTGTTATTGTTGGGGGTCTTCCAGAAGTTACTGCAATACCCAGGCAAACAGGATGAACTAAGGACCATTTTGGCCTTTTGGATTTCTTTGGTACTGTGGTTTGTCAGATTTTTAACAGTATTTAAACACAGAATTTTTTTTCTCTCTCTTTTTGTTAAGAAGAATGTTTGGGTTAGTGAAGGAAACATAGCTTTTTTTTTTTCCCTTTCATACAGAGCACCTCACTAATTTGCCCTTCAAATCAATGATAGTTGCTTAGCAGTGGTTCACAATAACCTAGTGCCCTTCCAGAGGTACTTGCTTAGCCTCTCAGCAGTGCATTGTAATGAGGTCTTTGCAAAATATGCTATAATGCATCTATGAGTATTCTGTAAAGTATTATCAATTTAATTTGTAAAATGAACAAAGTATACTTTTTCATGGTAAAACGTTTTGCTAATTAGTATATTTGCATGTTTGAAATTTGGCTTCTCAGTTACTAGTGTGAATTAGTGAGGGTCTACTGTATATCACTAACAACAAATAGAGCTAACTGTATATTGGTAAAAACATAGTAGTAATGAAAATCATGACTACTTTTTCTTCTGTTGCTTTTATAGTTGGACTACTCGTCCTGCCATGGCTGTCACCTTTTGGTAATAGTCTTAATAAATGCATTTGAATAGGTCTGAAAATGTAGCCACTAATTCCATTGTAAAATGTTTAATCTTTTTGTGCCAGAAGTCTTATTTTTCTAGTGCTATGTCCATTGCAGGCAATGGCTATCTTAAAATAAATAAAAGGAAAAATGAAAAAGGTCTGTGCACCTGGATTTTAAGTACAGTATATATTCAGTATAAGATTAAGGTGGTGGCTGTACAACAGCAGAAACACATTTTGTAAATTCATCATAGCTGTAATGAGCCCAAACTGTAGCCTGATAACTTGCAATACATCTTGATCTTTTAACTTCATTTAGCTATGGTTATGTAGATTTACTTCTGAAGATCGTAATTCCAGGACATTAGTAGCTTTCTAGAATTTTTGTGGAAGTCTGTCTTTTTAGTCTTTTCTGCCACTACTCCCAAAGCACAAAACTAGTGAATCTTGTGTGAGTGCAGTGGTGAGAGAAAAGCAGTTAACTGTACTGTCATGCATTCCTGGGTGTTTTTTGTTTGTTTGTTTTTGTTTTTTTAATTATTCTTATTATTTTTTAAATAAAAATATGGAACCCTGATTTGAAGGAAAAAATAACTTGTATTTCATAGTGTGTATGCTTTCATTGAAATGGTTCAGGGATATATGAAACACATGTATGCAATGTAAAACATTTTAATGTTTAATCCAGAAATAACAAAAATTCTTAGGCCTATAAAAGACCAGTAGAAGTAGTTCTGATTTGTGATTTTTTTGAAAAAAGGATGTAAAGGTTCAATCTTTCAGAAATCTGCATGAGCAGTCCTTTTGCATTTGGAGAAACTACTTGTATTAATAGTTAGCTGTGTACAAGACTGTTTGCAGGATTGGCTTCTAAGGATACAATAGAGGCTTTCTTGAAAAACTTCTCTTAAGATTCAGGACCTAGTTTTGATGAAGACTGTTAAGTCAAAACAGGTATTGGAATGAACGGTCCTATAGCACTCTTCTAAATTCTGCCACATAAGCACTGTTACCTTTTTATCACGAACCTGGTCTGTTCTGCTGCTTCTCCTTTGAGTGCTATCACTTCTCCTAGGATTCAACTCTGAAAATCAGATCATAAAACTGGAGGCACTGACTCAATGGGTATGTAAGGGGAAAACAGCATTTTCTTTCTTTTTTTCTTAGAATGCTTTTTCTAATCTATTCGCCCATCAGTAACTGCATTTTCATATCTAGACTTTGGGAACAGAATAATTTTTTTATTTCAAGATAATACAGCTAAGGTGAGTCTACTTGAGACACTGTGTTGCCATAGCAATGAGCTATGGTAATGCAGCTTATTGCTACGGCGATGTAGCATTAGCAGGCACGAACTATGATGCCAACACTATCGTGCAGTAGCTTGTTCCTACTGTGCAGTAAGGTCAGAAACTATCTGTGCAGAGCCAGGACTGCACAGTAACAGTGGTTACTAAAGCAAGTACTAAACAACTGCGCAGTAACAACTGTGCAGTCAGGGGCACGTGTAGACGCACTCCTAGTGTATTTAAATTTCATTACACAGCATCTCTGCTGATGGAGATATTCTAGACTTAAAGCCAGTCTTGGAATTTTCCACGTTAAATGTAGATGTGATCAGAGGAGTTCTCATTCTTGCTGGTGACCTTTATTTTGCACATGTACATTTTCATGCTTTACATGTTTTATAAACATTGGCCTAATACAGGGATGGGCAAAATAGGGGTCACGAGCCAGATTCAGCCTGCCAACTGATTGGAACCGTCCTGTGAGCAGGCACCCACCAGTTGATTGTATCTGGTCTGCATCGGGCCAAGTTCTGCCTAGGGTAGCCCATGCTGAGCTTCTGGCCAGTGCACACAATTCCAGCTGAGCTGCTTCCAGTGCGGCTACAGCCCCTTGGGTACTGTTTGGCTACTCCTGCCTCCAGTGGTTCCTCCTCCTCTTGTCCACCCCCCCCTCCCCCGGCAGCAGTTAGTGTGAGCGATTGACAGCAGCTATAGGGACATGAACCAGCCAGGTTAGGGTGGGGAGGGGGCAGGAGCTGCAGCTACATGGTTCTTGGCCCAGAGTGCAGGGCTCCGGCTTTAGTTCCTGGCCACCTTCCACCCATTCTGTGCACCCAGCATGATGAACAGCCGCTTACAGGTTGCTGAGTGGGTGGAAGGCAGCTGGGAGCTTGAGCTGCATGCTGGGGCTGTCCGACTAGCTTCCGTTCCTACTGCCTCTGCCTGATTCATGTCCCCATAGCTGCTGTTGCTTCCCTGCCCTACCTGCTGCCTGGAGCAGCACAGCAGGGACAGGTGGAGGAGCTGCTGGAGGCAGAGGTAGCTGAGAAGTACTTGGGTGGCTGCAGCCATGCTGGCAGTATTCCTACCAGGAAGCTGTGCACACTGGCTGGAGCTGGGACCGTTGGTGGGTGCAGGCAGGAGCACACTCTGGGCTACCCCAGGTGAGAGCAGGTGGGGCTCAGCCCCATGCAGAGTGCTGTGGAGGAAGCTGCTTGCCAGATGTCCGGGGGTGGGCTGCACCTACACTGCACAGATCGGGCAAGCTCTGCTGCATGCACCCCCTGGCCCTCCCCTTCCCACCACCCACCACTAGCTGCCAGGACCTCGCACAAGAGCAGTTGCCAGTTCATCACGTGCAATATAGAAGAGTAAGGCTATTTTGAGCTAGTATGCAATCACCTGTATATTCACTGCTCAAAAACAGATCAGGAGAAAAAATATTTTTTGAAATAGTTATAGTACATGTTTGATTTTTAGTATTTGGGTTTTTTTATTATAGATAAAGTGATATCTTCTAAAAGATTTTTGTGTGTGGCCCTCAACTGCTCACTGAAACTCATTAAGTGGCCTGCTAGCGAAAATAATTGCCCTTCCTGGTCTAATATCGTCTCTGTTCGCTGCTGCTGCTGTTGTTTATGATCTGAGTATTTTAAAGAAAAAACTGAGAATGTAAGTTTGTTCCCCTTCAGTGCATGTGGGTCTAGTTAGGCTTTTCTTACACTGATAATCTCCTTTGTTAAGGAGATTTAAATAG